ATAACAAGTGACCTCATGGTGACAGGGGCAAATATGGGAATTTTCTCTGAAAACTTTCCAAAATGTTGTCAGGCCTGCTGTATAATTATGGAATATTTCACCTCCACCCTCGGTAACACAAGATCTTGGGGACAGAGAAGGCGTGAAATCACCATGGAAAGAGGATGAGGAAGAAGATGCAATGCTGCAGCAGCAGCAGTCATGACCTTAGAACTCCATTAGGGAAGTGAGACATAGGGAGGAGGTAGATTGGGAAAGCAAGAGGCCTGTAAAGTATCTGAGGATTCATCCAAACTGATTGTGGGAGAGTGGAGATGAGGTAAAAAAAAAAAAAAAAAAAAAAAGAAGAGGAGTAAAAACTAAATTTTGAGGAAGAAGGAAATGAAAACACCCGAGGTGTAACACCGTCAGTTGATTGGCATCTAAGCTGGCTCTCAGCAGTAAGTGGAGATAACATACCTTTTTCAAGTACCAGAGAGAAAGGTAGGAGACAGGCAACAAGAACAGAAGGAAATGGGTGGAGGTAAAGAAAGAAAAACACAGAGAGTGCCAGTGTTCTGTGGACAGTTTGAGCTTGTAATAATAACAAAATAATTCTGATAACAGTGTGTGACTGTTGCTGAACTGCACAGTGGCTGTTGCTCCTCTGTAGAAATGAAAATGTTGTTTATGTCAGAAACTGTTCTTTGAAATGTGTATTTTCAGAGTTCAGCAGCTTCAGTGTCTGTGGATCTACACCTACATCTATCGAGATGAAACCTGGCCTTCACCCATCTTCCATGGAGCTGGAAAACAACATAGCACCAAAATTGTTATGACTGTTTTTGGGTGGGCTGCAGTCCTTTGCGAATACAAAACTAAGTAAAACTAAATGCTCTTTCTCTGTTAGTCACTGAAGGAAAACAGGAAAATGGCACACAGATCAGTAACACAGGTCTGGTCTTTCGTCCTTCAGGCAAAAGTCCCACTGAAATAAGGTTAATGAAGTAACTCATTTGGCCTATTGCTCTTGTATCTATTCCTTTCAGAAATCAAGCCATGGTGCCTGTAAATACGTGATGTAATATCTGGAAAATATTAATGACAGTATATAGAAGAATCCCAGGTAAATTTTATTCTTTAAAATTTACTTAGGGGAGCTCAACTCTCTGAAGTCAGAAAGACTCTCAAAACAAACTACAGTAGTATTTGTCAAGAGGAAGAAAACACTTCTATCTAAAATACCAGTTCCATCACATAAAAATGCATACTGGAAGAACCAAAATATCTTAGTGTAACAGTGTTCTTTAAAACTCTTCATGTGACGACAATTAAAATGTTCTTCTTCCAGAATACATCTGTTCAACTGAATATACTGCTGGGGTTTTTCAGTAATTACTTCCAGAAAGAGGTTTTTAGAGCATTTCAATAAACAATCTAAGCTTTGACCACTTGTTACATGCATATTTTTATGCTTTTAAGAATCCTAGTGGAATTTTATAGATAATTTTTTATGCTTTCTTGTCTCTAGAAAAATCATTCTACTCTTTCTTAAACAGAGGAGAGGGACACCTTCACTGAGACCCCTCAATGCTAATTTACAGATCAGCTGTCTGCACTACAGATGTCCTAGTGTGTAGGAAATAAGTGTCTGTATAGAGCTTAAAGCATTGGGTTTGACCTGGTAAACCCTAAACAGAATAACTTCTCACCTGAGAAGCCACTGCTATCTCTGTCTGAACTGCTTTCTGATCATTTCTGTTGAAAAACTATCTTCGTTGCCTTTTTTTTTCTTGCAATGGTCTGAAATATCTTTAGTTTATTGTCTTATAACACAGACTTCAGTGGGCTTGTCGCAAGCACTGAAGTACACAAGATCAAGATCTGGGACTTCTAGAGAATTACATACTCTATTTTTAATATAGAAATTTTAGAATTCAATTGTTCATATAAGCAAGGAAGAGAAGTGTACCACCAGGGTTTTGCAAGTAATTCTCTAAAGAAAAGCAGAAGGGAGGCATTGCTGCCATATAGATTGCCATAAGCAATTGTATCTGACAGACAAGCATATGATCCATTTAGCTAGTTATATAGCAAAGAAATACAATTTGCATGTCAGCGGGATCAAGTAAAGCCACCAAATCCAAAACAATTACTATACTCTAGCAGGATTTTGTATTATTAAAACAGGGAAGTTGGGGGAAAGTACAAATAATTTAAGTACACCATAATGCATTTTATGGGGATTTTAATTGTGTCTAAGATGCCATTTCTAATGTAAGAAAGCACAGGACCTCCTGATGAATACACAGTGTATTTTTTATTTTAAAAAAGTTGTGATATCAGAAGTTGTAAAACACCATCAATCTTCCCTTTGCAACCTTGGTTTGGACTCTCCCCCATGAAATGGCACATTAAAGATGGTTGGAAATATTCGACCAAAAAGGGAACATGGGTTTTGTAAGAAATGTTTTGGGGTTTTTGACCAGCTCTAGTTAGCATTCATTGCAGATGCAATATTTTCAAAACTGTTTCCTGAAAAGAGAGGCTATTCACCAACACTGTGATAGACAATTGTATTTTGTTTTCAATAAAACAAATGTAAATATTGAAAAGAAGATACAGTTATAACACTTCAAGAAATTTGGTATACATGTAATAAAAGAGAAGAGAACTACATACTTTCCACCATAGAAATTCATAGAACAGCATAGGTTGGAAAAAGCCCCTTGAGGCACAATGAGCCCTCTGCTCAAAACAGATCCAATTAGTTCAGACTGCCTGGGGACCTGTTCAGCTGAGTTTCAAATATCTCCAAGGACAGAGATTCCACAACCACGTTACTTCAAGGATTAATGGCTCTGTGGATAGGACAATGGATTGAGACTTAAATCCATTTCCAGTTGTCTTAAACTCCTTGATCTGTGTCTCTTATGTGACCTTGGATGATTCAGTTTCTCCACTTGCAAAACTAGAATTATTATTCAAAACTCCTGCATAATTATATTATTGCATATAAACACTGTCTGAACAACAATTTATTCAAAGATGCTATCACTGCAAAGTAAATGTTTTTAAGTCTTTGAATCCCACCATGGGAGGAATGAAGCTAAAGAAATAGGAAAAAGCTGCACTTTACATAAACCAGCAGAATACTTCACACAGTTACAGTGGCCTGCACACACAGAGGCCTAAACTATTGGCACCTTTAGCTCTTGGCTTGTTACTGCTGATACTGGTAACTTTAACTATTCAGGGTGCATAGTTCACACCCAATACTGACATCCTTTTAATTATGTTCTCAGTGTTTAAATTAATGACTAGCCTGTTTTCATTCTGGTTACCATATTCTCCGATTTTATATAAAAAATATCCGAATTTTTTTCTTCCCCATTAAACCGTAGCTATTGTCTTTCTGCCCAGAATGCCAAATCCTTGAATGTCGTTCTCATCAGGAGTAGGGTATGTAATGACTCTAATTCCTATCTGTATGATGAACAGCCTTTGCTTAGAAACTTGCAAGATAATTCATGCTATTGAGGACAGAGCCATTTTGTTTATGATGCTTATGATAATTTACCTTCTGATCTGATAAAAAGATTCATACAGAATATATCTGTACGGAATATTAGCTGTATCCTTCCATTAGCACTATTTAGACTACGCAAGTGAAAATCCCAAAGTAGAGAGATCACAGTTTCAGTGACTTTCGCTTCTGTTGGCATTTTGTTTAAAGATATTTCCTTGAATTTGTTTATGTCTCATCCTGAATCCCTTTTTTCCAGATACATTAGAATCACCATAAATTTGTAACATCATGACCCAGGAGTTAAACATTATAGTGTCCAATAGGAGTAAATTGAGTTTAGTTCATGTGTCACAAGTATATCTTATTTCAAATAGCACCCAACTGAACTCTCATGGGACATGTAGCTCAACACTTACAGTATTTGAGACTGTGACCTCTGAAATCACAGAGCTTTTAGGTCAGGAATGCCACAATAATTGAAGTCGTAGCTGCTACATTTTTGTGTGACCATCACTGCATGTGACTTTCTCACATCCCATATCCCCATCTGGGCTGTGGCCACTCGAGGAATGACAGTCAGATGTCTGAAATGGGATTTTTCCAAGGTGAAGCAAGGAGATTATACAGTGTTTAAAAACTCCCAAGAGTACAAGTATAGGACTATTCCATTGCCAACTCTTCCTTAGCACCCTTGAACAAACCCAGTGTAGGTTCAGATTCTGATCTTTAACATGCAGATGATAAATAATCCATAAGTCCATGAGGCTTAGCACAGGGTCTAAAGAGGCTTTCACAGACTTTCATAAGGACAGTGAAACAGCACACTATTTACACTGCTTGCATTTGCAGGATTTATTAACGTTGTAACTGTGCACAGGCAGACTTGGGTGGTGCATCGACATGCTATTTTGGGATCCTGCATGCACTGACATCTGTTCTGTCATTAGGATCAGAAATGAAGGGATGACACCGGGCTGGCCATGGCTGGCTCTGTGCTCGGCCCAGGGCCCCGAGGCCGGCACACCTGCCCGGTAACTCAGGGAGACGGGGGCCCGGCCACCGGCGTGTGACAGGGAGAGGTGCCCAGGTGCGTTTCACCTGCTGGGAAAACGCCTCCACGCACCGCGTCCCCGGGGAGCGGAGCCCTCGAGAGGAGCACAGTGACACGAGCGGCAGGAGGGCCGGGGAGCGGAGCGGGGCCGGAGCTCGCACCTTGGCCCGGCGGGGCTTTCCTGGCCCGCACGTCGCGGTACTTTCCGGGCACGGTAACCTTTGCTTTACTCCCACTGCGCCCGGAGGGGTGGAAACTCCGGGCAGAAATCACTTGGGGAAGGCGGCAAAGGAGGGGAGGTGTGTTTAGGTGACATTAAGTGATCGGGGGCGGTTTGCCGGCCCGCACCCTGGTCCGGCGCGCTGCAACCCGCGCGGCGCTCCGGGGGTCCGGCGGCGCTTGTGGGGCCGGGGGGCAGCGCCGCGGGGTGAGGAGGAGGCGATGGGGGTGAGGGTCGCACGAGCGAGCGGCGGTGGCGTCACACGAAGCGAGGGCCGGCCCCGCCGAGGGGCGGAGGGGCTGCCACGGGGCCGGGGCGGCGGGCGAGGTGCGGCAGCGGGCGGCGCAGCGTTTTGTCCACGGCCTTCGCCCGCCTCCCCGAACAAAGCGGCGCGGGCGGACGCAGTGACTTCACCGCCGGGCCCGCCCCCGCCCGGGGAACCTGCCCCGCTGCCGTCTCCTGGCAACCGAAGGGAACCGGGGGGATCCGCGGGCCCGGCGCGCACCCGCCGCAGTGGGGCCGGGCCGCTCCGCGCAGCGCCGCCGGTCACCCTCCGGGGCCCCCCAACCCGTGCCAAACCCCGGCCCCGCGGCGCGGAGGAGCAGCCCCGGCAGCAGCTCGGGACAGGGTCGGCAGCGCCCACCTGGCCCCGGCGGGGGCGGGCGGGGAGCGGCTGCCCGGCGGGGGCGGGGACAGCCGCCGGCCGCCTGTTTCCCCGAGGGAAGTGCGGAGCCGCCGCCGCTACCCCTGCGGTGCCAAGAGCCTCCCCGCGCCCCCCGGGCAGGGCGGGCGGTGGGGCGCCCCTGGCGCGCCGGGCTGGAGGCGGATGGAGGGAGCCGCGCTCCGCGCTCGGCCGGGGCCCCAAGGCCGCCGCTGCAGGGGGGGGGCCGGCCCTGGCGGGGCGCGGGGGCGCGGCGGGTGCTGCCCCCGAGATGCAGCGGCCCGCGCCCGCCCTGCCGAGCGCCCTACCTGTGCCGGGCCCGCCGCCGCCCCTCCCCTGGCCCCGCCGCCGCCGCCGCCCCCGCGGGGGCCGGGACTGAGCGCGCCGAGGCGCCGAGACGCGGCCCCGAGGAGAGGGAGCGGGAGCGGTGCCGGCAGCGGCGCATGATGTGGGTGCCGCTGCTGGCTTGCCTCACCGCGGGGATCGTCTCCGTGCCCAGGTGCCAGCGCGGCCCTGGAGCCCTCCTGGGGGCGGCCCGGCTGCTGGCGGCCGTGCCGGGACTCTGCCAGCGCCGTAAGTGTCCGAGCGCCTGGGACTGCTAGCCGTGCCCCGGCTGGCTGGGGTTGCCGCTGGGTTTGGTTCGGGCGCGGGGGCCGTGCGTGGGAGGGGGCACGGCCGGGCTCGGCGGCTGCCCCGGGGCACAGCCCTGACAGCCGGGGCCGCCCGTCGCCGTGGGCACACGCCGGCCGGGCCGGGCCGGGCCGGCGGGCGGCGCGTACCTGCAGGGAGAGCCGGGCTGGAGCCGCCGGCCCCTGCACAAACTTCACGCCGGCCCGTAGTTTAACTGTCCATCCTGGGGCGTCCACCCTTTAGGGAGCCGTGGCAGCTCCCGGGGAGCCCGCGGGAGTATCGCGCTCCAGGGCGCTGCGGGTCCTGAAAGTGCACCCTCCGCAAATCTCCGTGAAGCGGCACACAGAACCGCCTGGGGATTCACAAGCTACGGATGGACAGTGCTTAGGGATGGTAACACTCTTGTTTTACGTTGTTTATATGGCATGTAGTGGCAGGGTGAAATAGGGATACAGCTATGGGAAGACTGTCTTCTGTTTTTCTTGGGGTAACGTGTATACTGACGGTTCCCCGGGAGCCACGGTACTGGTGATGGAAAAGGTAAATGTGGGTAACCCCTCACATTGTGGAATTGCTTCCCAAACCCCCGGGCATCAGTTTTGATGCATGCAGGCTGAGAACAGTTTGTGCAAATGTACCTTAGGTAGCAACAGCTGATCAGACAGAGCAATCAGGTTAGTCAAGTATTTCATAAAGGATCTTATTTAACTAGCAGTTGTCAGAAAAGCAGATCAAGTTGTCAGTCATCTTTCCGTGTTTTTTTGAGCTTGTGGAATAATTGCATTTCCAACTCTAAGCCTGGAGTTGATTTAAAATGTTAACATGTAACCTCTAAAAATAAGATTTACAATGGAAACGATGTATTAGCCTTAAGTTCTTTATTGCATATGTGACAAATTCATGCCTAATTCAGTAGGATTTGCCCAGTGCTTTTAAAAACAATGGAATAATTTGTTAACTTTCATAGGATAATTTATTTTGCTTTTTTAGCTTCGTATTTTGAATTCAAAACCAAACTAAATGTCAATAGGAAAAATAAAATATATTATTAAATTTCTTATGAAACATGACATCTTGTATGTAGTATCCCAGATTCTTTTTTATGCAGTGCAATTGAGTTGAAAGGCTAATTGAAACTTTATGGAGAGGATGGTTCTGTGCCTGAATGCAGTGTTGTGCTTGCTCATGAGTGTAGCTTCTAGGAACACACTAGGGCAAATAATGCATCAGAACAGAATGCCACAGGGGGAGGTTGTGCGTGGGGCTTTTGTGCCAAAGGATACTTGCTGTCTTTGTTGTGCTTGATAGTGAAAATATACATGGGTGACACGTCATGGGTTATGTGTTTATTGTGACAACAGCTCTCAGATTGGGCAGACTGTAACTCAGATAGACCTTGTTTTTTCCTTTTCATTTGAAACCTCTGCTAATTCATGAAAGCTGAAAGTCACACTGAATTCCTTCCTTCATACATAATCACTTTACAGGCTAGAGCCACAGTTAAAGTAAGACGAGTGTTTTGTTTTGTTTTACTCTGAATGAACATGTGAAATTTTTTGTTATTATTGTTGTTGTTTGATTTTTACATTTGGTTGTGCAGCACTACCTGGATTCTTTGAACGTCTGCAGGCTGCTCCAAGAGAGAGTCTGGGCAGCAAGTCCATGTACAGATATTTGGCAACACAGCTCTGTTGAAGCAGCCACTCCTCTTCGCTTCTGCACTGACAGTGCTGGGCATGAAGAACAGCATTGAGCTGTTCCCGTGCCATCAGCAAGTTCAGTTTATTTATGTGCAGAGTTGGCAGAACCTGCATATCTGTGTTGAATCTCCAGTTTTAAAAGCGACTGAAATTAATATGAAATGTACATGGAACTCATAATCTGTTCATTCTTGTTGGAGCATTTGTAGCTCTTCTAGTTGAAAAATGGGGAGTTTAATGCTACCTGAGGTATTAGTTCTGCAAACTGCAGTTTGAGATTTGAGTTACTGTGTGGGGATAACTAAAGGTAGAATTTGGCCCAAGGTTACAAGGAGCGCAAAAGGAAATCTCACAGTGCTGTAAATTTGCAAGTCCCAAATTAAAGGTTCTGTAAGCTCAGATAAAAAGGGTAGTGTTGCTGCCTTCTACAAAGGGTCCCTTGTTCAGTAAGTCTCACCAAAAGGAAATTTGCAGTTCAGTAAGCCAACTGTAACAAATACCTGACATAAGAATGGAGCAAGTTCCATAGGGGTTTCTACAGGTCCCACATTTCTCTTTGAACATTAAAACCTAAAGATGTAAACCAGTGAACTGAATAAAAGCTGGATTCCACAGTGAGAGCACGTGTATGCATTGCGCTAACCAGTTGAGTAAGTGCTCACTTCAGTGAAGGCAGTCAGTGCCCTTGCCTTCTTCAAAAACTAATCTGTTGAAACTTAGTTTTTACCTGTTGTGTAAGCACATGGAATATGTGGAGCTTAAAAACTGGAGAATGACTGATTGGTCAAGGTTAACAGAGAACATTGGTTCAAATCTCAGCAGCGTCTCAAAACCAGTTATAATTAATATTAAAATCTGAAAACTAAGGTATTGGATGCTTTCTGAAATATCTAGGTAGTCATTCCTGTATGAAGCTCAAGTAAACAGAGTTTACTTGTGATGTGCAAACAGGGATTGGATCACATGAAAATCTTTATCCCTGATTTTAGAGTTGGAGAATAGTCACACAACAATTCTGTTACATAGTCATGGTTGACAAGTCTCTAATTTAAATACCAACCATAAAAGTTGGCATTTTCAGTCTTCCTGAGAGCGTCATTTGGAAAAACCGATTAGGGGTTTGGGGAAAGTGGAGGATCTGTGATCATGGCAGGGTCACTTGTTAATTGATTTATGCCAATAGCATGACTTTTGATTCATTAATGTTTTCTCCTCAGGTCTTTGGTGCTTTTCCAGTCTAGTCACATCAGATTCCCATGTGTGTTCCCTCTAGTTAGAAAGTTTCATAAATCATTACTGGGTTACTTCTCAAAGGAATAAGAAAAGCTATTCAAACCACTCATGGAAGAACAGTTTTTGAAGAGTGGTGGTCAGGATATGTCCCTGAACACACAAAGATGCACACAAAAAGTCCAAAATAAATGATATATCATGTTAGCTTTAACTGGTGTTTGTCTGTTAATTTCTGTTCTGTGCTGACCCATTTTCTTTGGAGGCTCAATGGAAGAAGCTGAGTTGTATGGGGTACTCAATGCTGAGACAGTTCTGCTTTTCTTAAGGCTTAAAACAATCCAAGAAGAAAAGGAAAAAAACATCTTCAATTTCCTGAGTCTGCGTGGGTGATCTGCTCCCTAGGGGTACTGGACCATCTTTGGGAAAGCCAACCTTTTGGGAACCAGCCTTTGGGAAAAACAACCTGGGTGTTTGGGAAGGCTGTAGGTTGCAGTTCTGAGGAATAGCGAGGGGGAGGTTTGTTTATCTGCGCATTGCCCAAGGAGTGTATTATACCAGTGGTATGCATAAATTTGCTTTGCAAATTGTACACTTCTCATAATCTGTTGCAATTTCATGTCTGTTCAGGGGTTTTATGTGGTAACTTTTTTTTTTTTATGGTTTTTACAAGTTGAATGCAACTGGTGGTTGCCTGTGTGGTATTTACAATGCTTTCCTGCCACAGATGTTTGAGATGGGATAAGAATGGGAAAAAAAGAGGAGATGGGCAGCTTACCAACTAGAAGAGTGATAACCATATTCTTGATGCTCTGGGAGGATTGCCTTTATGTCATTTCAGATATGCTTTTGCTAAGGGAAGTTGTCAAGGCAGCCTGAAGATTGCATGCAGAAGGAGTACTCTATGTAGTTGGAAGAGCCAGTTGCTTTTTTTTCTGGCCCTTATACTTTCAAGGAATGGAACTGCAACAACTGAGAAAGAAAGAATTACACCCCATTAGTCAAGAGGCCTGAATTAACGAATTTGATTTTCCATTAAAGTACAATCTAATTTACCTCCCCAGAGCATCAGAAAGATGTCAAACCATGGATTTTCTGGAAGCTAAAGAAAATCTTCACCATTGAACATATGTTCAATAAGAGGACATTACAACATCAGATTATATTCTCCCTTATACTTTACAGTGTGCACAAATGCTGATAAATTTTTCAGGTGCCTATGAAGAACTTGTGATGATTTGTATATGTTGTGTCTTGAATTTGGGACAATTTGTATTAGTTACTAATCTACAGTAGGAGGTATGAGAAAAGATACATAAGATATTTTATTTCTAAATTGTGTAAGTTGACATAGGCTGCTGATATTTATCAAGACTTCTTCAGAAAGTCATCATCATCATTTCTTGGTTGGAAACTAGGGATCTCACTTCTTTCTGGGTCTCTTCTTCCAAGTAACAAGCAATAGGATGAGAGGAAATAGCCCCAAGTTGTGCCAGGGGCGGTTTAGATGGGATATTAGGAAAAATTTCT